AAAAAAAAAAAAAAAAAAAAGTTTAGCTAAATTTTTCTCATTCTGTAAAGGCCCTAAATCCTGAGCATTATTTATGATTTCACCTGAATAGGATACAAAGTTATGAAACCAGATGTCATCTTTAAGTTGGAGCAAGGAGAAGAGCCATGGATAGGAGATAGAGAGATCCCACATTCATGCTCTCTAGGTGAGTATATGAGAACTAGCAAGATGGGAGAAAGCAGTTTAGTCTTAGCTGGTCAGCAATGGGTTTGTGTCTTTGAAATATGCTTTAGAGAGTTTTTTTCAAGAACTCTAAACTTTTGCTTCTGACATCAGGTACTCAGGTAAATCACATTCAAATATGGCTTTTATTTTTGTAACTTAAAGTGAAATGTGTCCTACTTATCTGACCCATGACATTATTCCCTGCCTGTCATATCTAGGACTTGGACTTCTTATTTGGTATTCTGTCCCTTGACATATTTATTCTAATTCTGTCCCTCCTTCCCCTATGTTCAAAGAAACCTGTGCTTTTATATTCACAAATTTTTACTTTTTCATTAGTGTGGGTATCTCTGGTGCCCACTCTATTTGATCTCATTATATTAGAAAATAAAGCCATGGCTTGGCACCTGTAGCTCAGTGGGGAGGTTGCTGGCCACATACACTGGGGCCAGTGGGTTTGAACCTGGCCAGGGCCTGCCACAGGACTGACAACTACAAAAAAAAATATCCGGGCATTGTGACAGGTGCCTGTAGTCCCAGCTACTTGGGAGGCTGAGGCAAGAGAATGGCTTAAGCCCAAGAGTTGGAGGTTTCTGTGAGCTGTGACACCATGGCACTCTACCGAGGGTGATGTAGTGAGACTTGTGTCTCAAAACAAAAAAAGAAAAGAAAGCCATGATGTCTCCCAAATAATTTGTCCTTATCCTCCCTTTTAAATTAGAATCTCTTGGGTTTTTTTAATAAATTAGACACCATGAAGTTTAAGAATGATCTCTACCATCCTTTCCTATTGTTTTTAGGTTGCCTCAGCCTCTTTAGCAGCTGGGACCACCGGTGCCCATCACAAAGCCTAGCTAGTTTTTCTTTTTTCTTTTTCTTTTTTTTTTTTTTTAGTAGAAATTGGGTCTCATTCTTGCTCAGGCTGGTCTCAAACTTCTGAGCCACAACAGTCCACCTGCCTTGGCCTTCCAGAGTGCTGTGGTTACAGACATGAGCCACCTTGCCCAGCCTGGCATTTACACTTGTAGCAAGTTATTTATATTAGTGATTAGCTTTTATACCACTTGATATTACTTAACAAAAAATTTTACATACAGGCTCTTATTGAAAAATAGGCCTTTTGAAAGTGCTTATAACAATAACATAAATGGTTATGTTGTGCAGATAATGGAAATAAAGCTATATAATATCAAACTGTCAGAATATTTTACAAATGGGAGCTTGTGTTTTGGGATAGTATAAGTATCAAAGTGCATGTGGATTTTAAAGTTACATGCTTGAATAGTTTAGATGAAACATATGTTTTGAAAATATGTTGCATGGAATGGCTTTCTTGATAGTAAAGTAGACACATGGCAAATTTTTTTTTTTTTTTGAGACAGAGCCTCAAGCTGTCCCCCTGGGTAGAGTACATGGCAAATTTAAAACTTGAAAATGTGAGAATGGGAAAAATACATAAAATGTTTCTATACTTTAAGCTTAAAATTACTTTAGCCAATTACTTTTTCAAATCTGTTCAGTTTCTTACAATATTTACTAAGTACAGTATATAGTTTTGTTGTTTACTAATATTATATGTTCTTTATTTTTTCTGTTAAAACATAAATTTCATAATGGCAAGGCCTTGTTTATTTTTCCTCTTATGTCTCCGGTCCTCACATACTTCCTGGAGCATAGTGTGTGTGCACAGTAAGGACTGTGTGAATTAACTCCTCAGAACATTGGCTGAGTCCTTTTTACAACCTCCTTTGTGTGTTCTTCATTGCTTTTCATGTATTATTCACATTCTCTTTCTATTTGACAGACTTATATTTGTCAGTACCCAAAGGTGACTGACTTAATCTATAATTTCCTATTTCTGTTTTCAGCATTTCTTTTATTTTTCAATATCTAGAAGATAGGCATTATACTTGGGACTTATTTAAGACTATCAAATTAAGCCTTAAGAACCAATTAACCCCTCAACACAGCATTTCTACTTTCTTACTTAGTAAGCACAACCAAACAGATTTTTTGTTTCCTTTATAGAGGAAGCCTGGCAAGTAGATGGTCACATGATGTGGCACCGGGATAACCAAGACAAGCTTAAAAATATGAAAAGAGGTGTTGAATGTGACACATTTGGAAAAAAATTCAATCTAAGTTTGAACTTTGTTCCTTTAAGGAAATCAAACAACACAGGTGACTTAAATGCATTGTTTTTAAAACATCATTTAGATTTGTTTATTCCAAAATCAGACTGTGGAAAAACAGAATCAGATGGCTTCGATATATTTGACAAATTATTTCTCCATTCCAAACCTGAGGAAACTGATACTTGGTTAAAATACTACGAATGTGATAAATACGATAAAGACCCCTATAAAAAGTCACAGATTATCATATATCACAGAACTCGTTTAGGGGAGAAACTCTTTGAATGCAGTGAATGTAGAAAACGCTTCAGTATGAAATCAAGTCTCATTAAACATCAGAGCAGACATATAAGGGAAATAGCCTATGGCTGTGGTAAATGTGGCAAAACCTTTCCTCAGAAGTCACAGTTTATTACCCATCATAGAACTCATACAGGAGAGAAACCTTATAATTGTAGCCAGTGTGGGAAAGCCTTCTCCCAGAAATCACAGCTCACATCTCATCAGAGAACACATACTGGAGAGAAACCATATGAATGTGGTGAATGTGGGAAAGCTTTCTCCCGGAAGTCACATCTCATATCACATTGGAGGACTCACACAGGAGAAAAGCCCTATGGATGCAATGAGTGTGGGAGGGCCTTTAGTGAAAAGTCAAATCTCATTAATCATCAGAGAATTCATACAGGTGAGAAGCCTTTTGAATGCAGAGATTGTGGGAAAGCCTTCAGCAGGAAGTCACAGCTTGTTACACATCACAGAACTCACACAGGAACAAAACCCTATGGATGTAATGATTGTAGAAAAGCCTTCTTTGAGAAGTCAGAGCTCATTAGACATCAGACAATTCATACTGGAGAGAAACCCTATGAGTGCAGTGAATGTAGGAAGGCATTTAGAGAAAGGTCTAGTCTCATTAATCATCAGAGAACCCATACAGGAGAGAAGCCTCATGGATGCATTCAATGTGGGAAAGCTTTCTCTCAGAAATCACATCTCATATCACATCAGATGACACACACAGGAGAAAAACCTTTTGTATGCAGTAAATGTGGGAAAGCCTTCAGCAGAAAATCTCAGCTTGTTAGACATCAGAGAACTCATACAGGAGAAAAACCCTACAAATGCAGTGAATGTGGGAAAGCTTTTAGTGAAAAATTAAGTCTGACTAATCATCAGAGAATTCATACAGGAGAAAAACCCTATGTATGCAGTGATTGTGGGAAAGCCTTTTGTCAGAAGTCACATCTCATATCACATCAGAGGACGCATACAGGAGAGAAACCATATGAATGCACTGAATGTGGGAAGGCCTTTGGTGAAAAATCAAGTCTTGCGACTCATCAGAGAACTCATACAGGAGAAAAGCCCTATGAATGTAGGGAATGTGAAAAAGCCTTCTCCCAGAAGTCACAGCTAAATACACACCAGAGAATTCACACAGGGGAGAAACCATATGAATGCAGTCTTTGTAGGAAAGCTTTCTTTGAGAAGTCAGAGCTTATTAGACATCAGAGAACTCATACAGGTGAAAAACCTTATGAATGCAGTGAATGTAGAAAAGCCTTTAGAGAGAAATCAAGTCTCATTAATCATCAGAGAATACATACAGGAGAGAAGCCCTTTGAATGCAGTGAGTGTGGCAAAGCCTTCTCTCGGAAGTCACACCTCATACCACATCAGAGGACACATACGGGTGAGAAACCCTATGGCTGCAGTGTATGCAAGAAGGCCTTCTCTCAGAAGTCACAACTTGTTAATCATCAGAGAATACATACAGGAGAAAAGCCTTATCAATGCAATGAATGTGGGAAAGCCTTCTCACAGAAGTCACAGCTCATTAATCATCAGAGAACTCATACAGTTAAGAAATCCTAGGAATGCAATTAATATGTGTCTGACATAATGTCATTGTACTTCAGAAAAAGCTGTTAAGTTTTTTAGATAATTCATCATATATCAGAGGACTCCTTTTCAGGGGGGAAGTCTATGAGATTATGTTGAGGAAACTTAAGAGAAATGAACATGCTTATATGTCAGAATTCATACTGTAGAATCAAAGTATGAATTTAGTGAGTCTCAAAACCTTTTGAAACCATAATCAAGCCTTATACAGTATAAAATTCACAGCAAATAGGCCTTCTGTGAATACTTCAAATACCAGAAACCCATCCTTAGGTCAAATCTCATAAATTATTAGGAATTTCCCCACTGGTGATGAGAAAAAGCCCCATGAATGTACCAAGTGAGGCAATGTTTTTTATTAAGAAATCACAGTTCATTGTACTTAAGAAAATACCCTTAGGAAGTAAATTCTATGTAACTACTAAATACAGGATAAGTAATCTTAAGTATATTGTATTTTGGGGAATTCATATTGTAGGTAAACCTAACACTTGAAGACATTGGGAACATGTGCCCCTTGAAATAATGCTATGAAGAGGAAAACCATACTCATTTGTAGGCAGGGGTACCAAAAATATGCAGTTCTATGTGTTACCAGATGTTCACTCTGACATATGAAGTTTTAAAAATACATGAATAAATTTGTTATTAAAACATCTGAGTAAGAATTTTTTTTTTTTTAAGAGACAAGAGTATTACTTTGTTGCCCTCGGTAGAGTGCTATGGCATCACAGCTCACAGCAACTCCAGTTCTTGGTCTTAGCTTAGGTGATTCTTTTGCCTCAGCCTCTCGATTAGCTGGGACTACAGGTGCCTGCCACAATGCCTGGCTATTTTCTTTGTTGTAGTTTGGCTGGGCCTGGATTTGAACCTGCCAATCTGGGTATGTGGGGCCAGGCCCTACTCTCTGAGCCATGGGCGCCTCCCAGAGTAAGAAATTTCTTATTTGTATTTACAGGTTATTTTTCTGTGTCACATATGTTTTGTATTTTGGGATTGCATATAATGTAATTGGGAACATGAAATGCGTATACCTTATAGTGCCTATGATGTCTGTCAAAATACACTATGTTCGACTGGTTTTTCTATTTTAACAATAGTATAAAAATGGAAAGTGACAGAACATGGCTTATATCTGAATTAGTAACTTAAATGGCAATACCACATTTATTCTTTGCTTATTATCTGTTGACAATAGAAGGGTCTCTTGTTATTGACCTTTTTCTTCAATAACCGAAACCAACATCACATAAGTCTTATATCCTCTGAGTCCAAACAACAGTCTATATAATAAATATGCAAAGCCAGGAACCACAGAGTAACAGTAGTGAAATATGACACCGTGGGAGCAAAAGAAAGGTATGTGAATTATACATATAACTCAGTCCTCAAGGTAAATGAAAGTAAGTAATGCTGTGTAGTCTTTTTCTCATTTAGTGATATGCATTATATATCTATATATATGTGTGTGTGTATGTATATATATACATATATATTTATTTCAGTGTTAGGTAATCCACCTACAACTTGGATTTCAATTTACTATGACGAAATATGAATACTTTGTGCTGTTATGTTTTTGGTGTTTCATAAAATGTCTTGTAAAAATTAGATGTAGAAATTGACGAAGATTCACTGTTGAAAATATGTAAAATATAGAGATTTTGTGCTGAGAAAATAGTTTTGGTACATTCAAGGAAGCCTATTTTGTCTTCCAGATAATTTCTGTGATTATTGGGCAAATATAGATGCTTACAATTGGGTTCTGTCCTAATAAACCCATTGTAAGTTGAAAATATATGTCAAAAATGCATTTAATACACCTAACTTACCAGGCATCATAGCTTAGCCTAGCTTGGCTTAAACGTGCTCAACATACAGGTTGGCAAAATTAAATAACACAAATCCTATTTTGTAATAAAGTGTTGAATATCTTATGTTATTGAATACTGTACTGAAAGTGAAAAACAATTTTATGGTGCCATTGTACCATACAGAATTTTAACATTGAACCATCATAAGTTGAGAACTATTAGTTAGGAAACCAGATTTTCATTATTTTGTAATTTGAAATATTTTGTGTTTTACCTTTCACCAGTTGCACTGTCCTCATGGGCACCTTCCCATTGGGGATGTAGAACATATAACTGTATAAGTGTGCTTCCTTTTAAAAGTGCATGAACCATCTCTTAGCTAAATTAGAGTTTTTTAAGGGTTTTATCTCTATCATGTTGCTTGACAAAGTTAACACATATTTTTCACATGGTGTTGAAATTCAGAAAAGTCCAACATTGAGATTGATTCCAAACTTAAAAAGTCAAGATTTCTGTTATGCACAAATTGTTATATATCAGTATAGTGTATTGCACCTTTGATTCTAGAAGTATTTTTCCTTTAATTTTGCAGCATTTTGGAAAACTGGGACCTTACACAAATGAGAGTAGTTTTAAACCAACATACCAGAATTTCAACAGCCAAATAATCCTATTTGTCTCCATGGTAATTGTAAAAGCATCCAATTTCCAATTTTTTTATTTATAATCAAATGTATGGACTTCCTACTTTTCTTTTTAATAATTAAAGGTTATTTTATTAAATGTGAGAGCCAAATCTTTGTAAATGAACAAATAGGTATAGAGCAATGTTCTACTTTGTAGTTTTTGCCATTTTTTTCTTCCCATATATTATGATTCTCTTTCCTAGTCCCAGAGGTTGGTTCATTAGGTCTTAGACTGCTGTCAGAAGTCTGTTGCATAAAAGTTTTCTAATTTTGCTCAGTTAAATTTTACATTATTCCATTAACTATTAAACAGTTAAACCAGGTACTTCCTGCATTAGATAATGGAACTTTAGCACTAACCTATTGATTGAATCTCCAAGAGCAAAAAATTATTTTCTCAGTCAGGTGTTACTCATCCAGTGGGTTGATGCAGACAACCAAGGTCTACTTTTGAGACTATCTAATGTGGAGACTCAAATATATTGTTTGCTACCCATTGAAGCTCACCATTGCTTATGAGAAAACTCTGATTCTGAAAATTCTGAGATTTTTAGTGTCTGTTTTGGAAATGCCCTGGGTTAACCTCAAAAGCCTGTCTCCACATTTCCCTTCATTGATTCCTACCACACACCCCACATTAAGAAGAAAGGAAGTTTTGGCTCGGTGCCTATAGCTCAACCGGCTAAGGCGCCAGCCACGTACACCTAAGGTGGCGGGTTCGAATCCCCAGCCCGGACCCACCAAAACAACAATGATGGCTGCAACCAAAAAGTAGCCTGGCGTTGTGGCAGGCGCCTGTGGTCCCAGCTACTTGGGAGGTGGAGGCAGGAGACTCGCTTGAGCCCAGGAGTTGAAGGTTGCTGTGAGCTGTAATGCCACGGCACTCTACCCAGGGGGACAGCTTGAGGCTCTGTCTCCAAAAAAAAAAAAAAAAGAAGAAGAAGAAAGGAAGTTTTAAAGTTAGACTGGATTTATTTATGATTTCATGGAGCACAAGAAGTCACTAGAAATAGAATACTAAGGCCAAACACAGGAAACATCAGCTTTTCTTATTCTATTTTACTGTCCATATTCTTCCACCATCCTGGAATTGTGCTTTATTCTACAAAGGAAAATTTACATTGCATTCCTTTTACTAATTTATGGTTTGGGGTTTTTTGTTTGTTTGTTTCTTGTGGACTGAATTTTAAGACCTATACCAGGAGTGCATTGTGTTTGGTTTTTCTTTGTGGACTCTGACACAGTTATCTATGGAACCAGGTACTCTGCTTTTAAGAAAATCACTTGTAAACACTCAAAGACGAAATGCACTCAAGAATGCTAAATTTATTTAATGATAACCTTATTAAACAGCAAAATATAAAGTAATCGGCATTTCAGTTCTACACTTGAAATCTTCTTAGTCATTTGATCATTACAGCAGTATACATCTAGGTTGTCAATTTCAGTAGGCTACAAATAAGGCACCAGTAAGCTTTCAGATGTCTAACATCTAGCCCTGGCATAAGTGCTGATAAACTTATCCATAACCTTTGTAGTCACATGGATTTTTTTGCACCTTGGTTTCATTCATTTAATCCATTTTCACACTTAGACATGTTGATAATTTTAAAATGCAACTTTGATTATATTGTTGAAATATTGTATGGCTTATTGTGTATTTAAGGTATGATGTTTTCATCATGGTATGCAAGGACTTTTATACAAAGTCATGTCATCTCATTGTCATTTCCTCCTATGCAATATTTCCTGGCCTCCTTGAACAACTTGCAGTTCCTTGAGGTTTCTATAATACCTTATGCTTTTGCAAATCTATTGCAATTGAAATCCCCTTGTTCTTTGTTATTGCCTATACATGTATTTCCTACTGTGATAATATAATCATTACATGTTTTATCTTTTCCATTATCTTTTTGGTCCATATACTTTTTAGCAGCTAAAGCTATAATATTTAAATATAGGTGCTTTCAATGGCTGTGTTTTCTACCACATGTAGAAACATAGCCTGCACTGAGAGAAAAGAATGAAGCCATCATGAAAACAAAGTCAAGAATGAGTCCTGATTGTGTTCCAGTACCTAGTTCTTACTGTCTCGATGTCCAGATCCATCCCTGTCCTTTTCATGTCTTGATTGTTGAATTCTGTGAGATTCCCCAAATACCGGCTAATAAATTCTCATGTTTGCTTCAGCTTGTTCTAGTTGTTTTTGTAATCAGTAATCCAGATATTACTACTAACAGGAAGTCAGGCTCAGTCATAATTTGGGTTCTCTGGAAGCAGATACTAAAAAGGAGTTTGGCATGAAAAATGTTTATTGAGGACCAACATCTATGAAATGACAGGAAAGTAAATAGGAATGAAAGGAGCAGAAAAGTCAAACAGCACTGCTTGGGAACCAGAGAGCTCTGGAGTGTATTGCTTATCAGAGTGTTTCATATTGGGTCAGGATGGTCAGGCCTTTATAACACTGAATTGCTCAGTCACCAGAGTCAGGCTGCGCAGTTAAGGGAACAGGCTCAGGATAAGCTGCTGTTTTTAGCTGAAGACAATGTTGAACAAACCTACAGCAGGAGAGCGCTAACAGCGCTCCCTTCAACCAGGCAGCAGATCTCTCTTTGAGGAGGGATCTGGGTGATTACACAGTCCATCCCTTGCACGCTTAGGTTCTTTTTCTGCATTACATCTGGGGAGCTGTTGCTCTAGGACACTGGTGAGGAGGCTCTGTCTGAGAAGAGACTAAGAAAAAGAAGAATAGTAGGACAAATCATGGGCCTACTGTCAAAAGTTGCTTTTTCTCCTTTGTTACCCACTCAATGCTTGCACTTTGTTGCCACCTCTGCTGGCATCAGTGGCATATCTTGTAAGGTGTCCCAGACTTTCATTCCTTAGGGATCTTTCTGAGCCCTGGTCACCATGCCCTTCTCAGACCCAAGTAACTGTATCTGTCCATTTACATCACATTTTAGCAAGCAAGTCCTGAGGCACCTAGGTGGATCACCTGAGTTCCTCTCCTAACCTTTTCTACCCTATAGTGTAACAGCAGCATGATTTCCATTCCTGAAGATCAGTGTCGAATCCCCTGCAGAGACAGCCGTTCTTCTGACTTACTGGTCCCTGGACACAAGGCAG